TTGATTTACGGGTGGGGGTGGGGGGTTGGGGAGCCCCTCGACGCGGGAAACAATGGGCTGTGAAATGAGCTACACTCCTACGTCGCTGTTGCCTCGAGGGCGCCGAAAAAGTTGGAATCGTGAGATATAGATCGATGGAGAAATCGCCGCTCGACTCGGGAGAGTGGCCGTGCAGGGCGGTGGCGCGGTGTTCGAAAATATCAAGCGTAATTGGAGGTAACTGTACCGAAAGGGCGCGGTAGCGGTTAATTGTTTTCGGTGAGTTTGAAAGCGCAAAATACGCTGAAAAAAATCTGCCTACGAACTCTGCTAGTTTGGCCAAACGTAACTCCGAAAAAGTTGGAAAATTTGATTACTGTTGCACCCTTGTTATTCGCAGATTTCTTCCTGCACCATCAAAACTCTCGCCGCCCCTGAAAAACTGAATTGGATGCTTAAAAACTAGGCTTTCTGGGTGTATGACTCGTAATATTTCGAGAAGAAATCAGAATGTTCATATGTATTTATCAATCGAGATGAACACACACATTATACCCGTCACTCCACGTAACAAATTTGACAATCCTCTATGCTCCTACGACGTTCTACCTTAGTGCCTCGCTGTCAGTGGCTTGGCGTGAATGATCGATTATCGATATATCCTCATTTGAAGCCGTGGAAAAGAATCGATTATTAAGGTGTTCGCTGCGAACACCCTGTTTATCGATCCTTTTACATCGATTTAAATGGCAGATCAATCGATAGATCGCAAAGCACGCCACGCCACTGCTCGCTGTATGCGCTGAGGGAAGCCGAATGGTTTAGCATGAGCTCAGTTTCCACCGTGCTGAATAAGAACGCCCTATGAACATTCTGTCATTGCCAAATCTCCTCTGATGAAACATGCGTTTTCTGTAAAACTTCTAGGTCTTTCTCTTGGATTTCTATAGAGGGGTTCACAGGCAATTTGATCTGGTATGCTCTTAAAAAGTTCCAAAAAGAAATACTCATAATTATTCACAAAAGTGAATATGTTATCGAGGGAAATTTTGATATCATTTTATTGCTCTCAGGACTTTCTTCGTTACCACGACAGCCTGTGCATGCGAAATGCCAGTGGATGACTGAATGACAAGCCTGGCTTTTGAGTGGAGGTGCGAATACACCGTTTTGCGGAAAAGAGCAGTAACTCCATTCGGATGTGAGCCACAGTTAGCATGACCTATTATACGCTTCGAGGTTCACGCCCAAATGGAGGTACAGCACTCTTTCTTCACAAGGCGAAATACACCAACCTCTCCGTTAATGACCTACGATACATCAGCCGGTGTGATGTGCTGCCGTGCTAAGGAAAAACGCCGTATGAACATTCAAGAGTTGCCAAATTGCCCCGGATAAAGTATGTGTTCTTGGGACCAATTAGACGTATTTTGACTTGAAATTTTCAGACATTTTAGACGAAATTGTGAACAAAATTGTCTGGGGAAAGTTCAGAAAAAATTCACGATTTTCCCAGTAAATTAAGGTTTTATTGAAGGAAATTTGGCAGCGTCTGAAGGTTCATACGGCGTTCTTCCTTAGCACGGCAGTGTGGTGATGCCTCAGAGCAGCGGCAGAACAAAGAAGCAACGGAATCGGGACTTAGGGAGCCGGCCAAATTGATTCCTCACACCTCATCAACCCAAAAAGGAGCCGGGAGTGGCACAACTCCCCCCCCCCCCCCC